AAATAAAAAAGATTTCATGTTTTACCCTTTTCAACTGGTTGTAGATAGACAAAAAACTTAGTAACTGTGCTTAGATTTGTCAGGTTCTATGGTGTAATGGTTAGCACTCAGGACTCTGAATCCAGCAATCTGAGTTCAAATCTCGGTAGGACATTTATTTTGGTAAAAAAAAAAAAATTCATGTTTTTCTTGTTTTAACTGTTTGTAGATAGACAAAGAACTTAGTAACTGTGCCAAGATTTATCAGGTTCTATGGTGTAATGGTTAGCACTCTGGACTCTGAATCCAGCGATCCGAGTTCAAATCTCGGTAGGACCTTTTTTTTCTGCTAACCATTAAAGAGGTTTATTGTTTTGCCGGTTAAAGCTGATTTTAGATAGACAAAATACTTATTGACCTAAGTAAGAGTTGTCTGGTTGTATGGTGTAATGGTTAGCACTCTGGACTCTGAATCCAGTGATCCAAGTTTAAATCTCGGTAGGACCTTTGTTTTGGTAAAAATAAAAAAGATTTTAGGTTCTCCTTGTTTTAACTGTTTAGAGACAAAAAACTTAGTAACTGTGCCAAAACTTATCTGGTTATATGGTGTAAAGGTTAGCACTCAGGACTCTGAATCCAGTGATCTGAGTTCAAATTTTAGTAGGACCTTTGTTGTGGTAAAAATAAAAAAGATTTAATGTTTAACCCATTTTGGTAGCACTTTTTTTTCTGCTAACCAAAAAAGAGGTTTATTGTTTTGCCGGTTAAAACTTATTTTAGATAGACAAAATACTTATTAACCTAAGTAAGAGTTGTCTGGTTGTATGGTGTAATGGTTAGCACTCTGGACTCTGAATCCAGTGATCCAATTTCAAATCTCAGTAGGACCTTTGTTTTGGTAAAAATAAAAAAAGAGTTCAAATCTCAAAGCTAAAATTTAGCAGGTACTATGGTGTAGGCTCTCTGGATTCTGAATCCATGGATTCGAGTTCAAATTTCGGTAGGACCATTTAAAAAAAAATATATATATATATATTTCATGTTTTCCTTAATTCAACTGGTTTGAGATAGACAAAGATCTTAGTAACTGTGTGAAGATTTATCAGGTTCTATGGTGTAATGGTTAGCACGCTGGACTCTGAATCCAGCAATCTGAGTTCAAATCTTGGTAGGACATTTATTTTGGTAAACAAAAAAAGATTTCATGTTTTTCTTGTTTTAACTGTTTGTAGATAGACAAGAACTTAGTAACTGTGCTAAGATTTATCAGGTTCTATGGTGTAATGGTTAGCACTCTGGACTCTGAATCCAGCAATCCGAGTTCAAATCTCGGTAGGACCTTTTTTTCTGCTAACCATTAAAGAGGTTTATTGTTTTGCCGGTTAAAACTGATTTTAGATACACAAAATAATTATTGACCTAAGTAAGAGTTGTCTGGTTGTATGGTGTAATGGTTAGCACTCTGGACTCTGAATCAAGTGATCCAAGTTCAAATCTCGGCAGGACCTTTTTTTCTGCTAACCATTAAAGAGGTTTATTGTTTTGCCGGTTAAAACTGATTTGCTAAGATTTATTAGGTTCTATGGTGTAAAGGTTAGCCCGCTGGACTCTGAATCCAGCAATCTGAGTTCAAATCTCAAAGCTAAAATTTAGCAGGTTCAATGGTGTAAGGGTTAGCTCTCTGGACTCTGAATCCAGTGATCCGAGTTCAATTTCGGTAGGTCCTTTGTTTAAGTAAAACTAAAAAAAGATTTAATGTTTACCCTTTTCCACTGGTTTGAGATAGACAAACAACTTAGTAACTGTGCGAAGATTTATCAGGTTCTATGGTGTAAAGGTTAGCATGCTGGACTCTGAGTCCAGCAGTCTGAGTTCAAATCTCGGTAGGACCTTTTTTTTGGTAAAAATAAAAAAGATTTCATGTTTTCCTTGTTTTAACTGTTTAGAGACAAAGAACTTAGTAACTGTGCTAAAATTTATCAGGTTCTATGGTGTAATGGTTAGCACTCTGGACTCTGAATCCAGCGATCCGAGTTCAAATCTCGGTAGGACCTTTTTTTTCTGCTAACCATTAAAGAGGTTTATTGTTTTGCCGGTTAAAACTGATTTTAGATAGACAAAATACTTATTAACTAAAATACAATCAGCAATCTGAGTTCAAATCTTGGTAGGACCTTTAATTTGGTAAAAAGAAAAAAGAGTTCATGTTTTCCTTTTTTTAACTGTTTGGAGACAAAAAAACTTAGTAACTGTGCCAAGATTTGTCAGGTTCTATGGTGTAATGGTTAGCCCTCTGGACTCTATATCAAGTGATCCGAGTTCAAATATCAGTAGGACCTTTGTTTTGGTAAAAATAAAAAAAGGGTTCAAATCTCAAAGCTAAAATTTAGCAGGTACTATGGTGTAAGCGTTAGCTCTCTGGATTCTGAATCCATGGATTCGAGTTCAAATTTCGGTAGGACCATTTAAAAAAATATATATATAATAAGACAAAATACTTATTAACTAAAATACAATCAGCAATCTGAGTTCAAATCTCGGTAGGACATTTATTTTGGTAAACAAAAAAAGATTTCATGTTTTTCTTGTTTTAACTGTTTGTAGATAGACAAAGAACTTAGTAACTGTGCTAAGATTTATCAGGTTCTATGGTGTAATGGTTAGCACTCTGGACTCTGAATCCAGCAATCCGAGTTCAAATCTCAGTAGGACCTTTTTTTCTGCTAACCATTAAAGAGGTTTATAGTTTTGCCGGTTAAAACTGATTTTAGATACACAAAATAATTATTGACCTAAGTAAGAGATGTCTGGTTGTATGGTGTAATGGTTAGCACTCTGGACTCTGAATCCAGTGATCCAAGTTCAAATCTCGGAAGGACCTTTGTTTTGGTAAAAATAAAAAAGATTTAATGTTTTCCTTGTTTTAACTGTTTAGAGACAAAAAACTTAGTAACAGTGCCAAGATTTATCTGGTTTTATGGTGTAAAGGTTAGCACTCTGGAATCTGAATCCAGTGATCTGAGTTCAAATTTTTTTAGGACCTTTGTTTTGGTAAAAATAAAAAAGATTTAATGTTTTACCCTTTTCCACTGGTTTGAGATAGACAAACAACTTAGTAACTGTGCAAAGATTTATCAGGTTCTATGGTGTGATGGTTAGCACGCTGGACTCTGAATCCAGCAATCTGAGTTCAAATCTCGGTAGGACATTTATTTTGGTAAAAATAAAAAAGATTTCATGTTTTCCTTGTTTTAACTGTTTGTAGATAGACAAAGAACTTAATATCTGTGACTAGATTTATCAGGTTCTATGGTGTAATGGTTAGCACTCTGGACTCTGAATCCAGTGATCCAAGTTCAAATCTCGGAAGGACCTTTGTTTTAAAAAAAAAAAAAAGATTTAATGTTTTCCTTGTTTTAACTGTTTAGAGACAAAAAACTTAGTAACAGTGCCAAGATTTATCTGGTTTTATGGTGTAAAGGTTAGCACTCTGGACTCTGAATCCAGTGATCTGAGTTCAAATTTTAGTAGGACCTTTGTTTTGGTAAAAATAAAAAAGATTTAATGTTTTACCCTTTTCCACTGGTTTGAGATAGACAAACAACTTAGTAACTGTGCAAAGATTTATCAGGTTCTATGGTGTGATGGTTAGCACGCTGGACTCTGAATCCAGCAATCTGAGTTCAAATATCAGTAGGACATTTTTTTGGTAAAAATAAAAAAGTTTTCATGTTTCCTTGTTTTAACTGTTTGTAGATAGACAAAGAACTTAGTAACTGTGCTAAGATTTATCAGGTTCTATGGTGTAATTGTTAGCACTCTGGACTCTGAATCTAGCGAACTGAGTTCATATCTTGGTAGGACCTTTTTTCTGCTAACAATAAAAAAAATTCAGTGTTTTGCTGGCTAAAACTGGTTGAAGATAGACATAGGACGTATTATCTCAAATATTAAATGTCTGGTTCTATGGTGTAATGGTTAGCACTCTGGACTTTGAATCCAGCGATCTGAGTTCAAATCTCGGTAGGACCTTTTCTTTCTGCTAACCAAAAAAGAGGTTTATTGTTTTGCCGGTTAAAACTTATTTTAGATAGACAAAATACTTATTAACCTAAGTAAGAGTTGTCTGGTTGTATGGTGTAATGGTTAGCACTCTGGACTCTGAATCCAGTGATCCAATTTCAAATCTCAGTAGGACCTTTGTTTTGGTAAAAATAAAAAAGATTTCATGTTTTACCCTTTTCAACTGGTTTTAGATAGACAAAGAACTTAGAAACTGTGCTAAGATTTATCAGGTTCTATGGTGTAATGGTTAGCCCGCTGGACTCTCAATCCAGCAATCTGAGTTCAAATCTCAAAGCTAAAATGTATCAGGTTCTATGGTGTTAGGGTTAGCACTCTGAATTCATGGATTTGAGTTCAAATCTCGGTAGGACTTCATTTTTTTTTTTTTAAATAAATTTTTCATGTTTTCCTTGTTTCAACTGGTTGGAGATAGACAAAAAACTTAGTATCTCAGATAAGAAAAGTGTGGTTCTATTGTGTAATGGTTAGCACTTTGAATCCAGCGTTCCGAGTTCAAATCTTGGTAGGACCTTTTTTTTCTGCTAACCATTAAAGAGGTTTATTTTTTTGCCGGGTAAAACTGATTTTAGATAGACAAAATACTTATTAACTAAAGTAAGAGTTGTCTGGTTGCATGGTGTAATGGTTAGCACGCTAGACTGAATCCAGCAATCCGAGTTCAAATCTCGGTAGGACCTTTTTTTTGGTAAAAAGAAAAAAAAATTAATGTTTTCCTTGTTTTAACTGTTTAGAGACAAAAAAATTCGTAACTGTGCCAAGATTTATCTGGTTGTATGGTGTAATGGTTAGCACTTTGGACTCTGAATCCAGCGATCCAAGTTCAAATCCCGGTAGGACCTTTTTTTTCTGCTAACCATTAAAGAGGTTTATTGTTTTGCCCTGTTAAAACTGATTTCAGATAGACAAAATACTTATTAACCTAAGTAAGAGATGTCTGGTTGTATGGTGTAATGGTTAGCACTCTGGACTCTGGATCCAGTGATCCAAGTTCTAATCTCGGTAGGACCTTTGTTTTGGTAAAATTTAAAAAAGATTTCCTGTTTTCCTTGTTTTAACTGTTTGTAGATAGACAAAGAACTTAGTAACTGTGCCAACATTTATCAGGTTCTATGGTGTAATGGTTAGCACTCTGGACTCTGAATCCAGCGAACTGAGTTCGAATCTCGGTAGGACCTTTTTTTCTGCTAACAATAAAAAAAAATCAGTGTTTTGCTGGCTAAAACTGGTTGAAGATAGACATAGGACGTATTATCTCAAATACTAAATGTCTGGTTATATGGTGTAATGGTTAGCACTCTGGTCTTTGAATCCAGCAATCCAAGTTCAAATCTCGGTAGGACCATTTTTTTTTGTTAAAAAAAAATAAATATTTCATGTTTTCCTTGTTTCAACTGGTTAGAGATAGACAAAAAACTTAGAATCTCAGATAAGAAACGTGTGGTTCTGTTGTGTAATGGTTAGCACTCTGCACTTTGAATCCAGTGTTCTGAGTTCAAATCTCGGAAAGACCTTTTTTTTCTGCTAACCATTAAAGAGGTTTATTGGTTTACCGGTTAAAACTGATTTTAGATAGACAAAACACTTATTAACTAAAGTAAGAAATGTCTGGGTGCGTGGTGTAATGGTTAGCACTCTGTACTCTGAATCCAGTGATCCGAGTTCAAATCTCGGTTGGACCTTTGTTTTTGTAAAAATTAAAAAGATTTCATGTTTTACCCTTTTCAACTGGTTTTAGATAGACAAAGAACTTAGTAACTTTGCTAAGATTTATCAGGTTCTTTGTTGTAATGGTTAGCACTCTGGACTCTGAATCAAGTGATCCAAGTTCAAATCTCGGCAGGACCTTTTTTTCTGCTAACCATTAAAGAGGTTTATTGTTTTGCCGGTTAAAACTGATTTGCTAAGATTTATTAGGTTCTATGGTGTAAAGGTTAGCCCGCTGGACTCTGAATCCAGCAATCTGAGTTCAAATCTCGGTAGGACCTTTTTTTTGGTAAAAATAAAAAAGATTTCATGTTTTCCTTGTGACAACTGTTTGTAGATAGACAAAGAACTTAGTAACTGTGCTAAAATTTATCAGGTTCTATGGTGTAATGGTTAGCACTCTGGACTCTGAATCCAGCGATCCGAGTTCAAATCTCGGTAGGACCTTTTTTTTCTGCTAACCATTAAAGAGGTTTATTGTTTTGCCGGTTAAAACTGATTTTAGATAGACAAAATACTTATTAACTAAAATACAATCAGCAATCTGAGTTCAAATCTTGGTAGGACCTTTAATTTGGTAAAAAGAAAAAAGAGTTCATGTTTTCCTTTTTTTAACTGTTTGGAGACAAAAAAACTTAGTAACTGTGCCAAGATTTGTCAGGTTCTATGGTGTAATGGTTAGCCCTCTGGACTCTATATCAAGTGATCCGAGTTCAAATATCAGTAGGACCTTTGTTTTGGTAAAAATAAAAAAGAGTTCAAATCTCAAAGCTAAAATTTAGCAGGTACTATGGTGTAAGCGTTAGCTCTCTGGATTCTGAATCCATGGATTCGAGTTCAAATTTCGGTAGGACCATTTAAAAAAATATATATATAATAAGACAAAATACTTATTAACTAAAATACAATCAGCAATCTGAGTTCAAATCTCGGTAGGACATTTATTTTGGTAAACAAAAAAAGATTTCATGTTTTTCTTGTTTTAACTGTTTGTAGATAGACAAAGAACTTAGTAACTGTGCTAAGATTTATCAAGTTCTATGGTGTAATGGTTAGCACTCTGGACTCTGAATCCAGCGATCCAAGTTCAAATCTCGGTAGGACCTTTTTTTTCTGCTAACCATTAAAGAGGTTTATTGTTTTGCCGGTTAAAACTGATTTTAGATACACAAAATAATTATTGACCTAAGTAAGAGATTTCTGGTTGTATGGTGTAATGGTTAGCACTCTGGACTCTGAATCCAGTGATCCAAGTTCAAATCTCGGTAGGACCTTTGTTTTGGTGAAAATAAAAAAGATTTCATGTTTTTTCTTGTTTTAACTGTTTGTAGATAGACAAACAACTTAGTAACTGTGCGAAGATTTATCAGGTTCTATGGTGTAATGGTTAGCACACTGGACTCTGAATCCAGCAATCCGAGTTCAAATCTCGGT